TTTGGTCTCCTACTATTCCCAAAGTTAAGTCACCTTTTAATTTACTAAAAACTTTTCATAGTTCACCATCCATGTACTTGTCATGTTATGTGTTTTGTTGATGGGAAAGAAAAGATGGCATGAGGATGTTCTTTGAGAATTGGCAAGTTCATAAGAAAAGCTTAAAGAAGTCCATTGAGGGAAAACCAACAAATATTATTTCAGCTCATATATATAATATTTATGACAAATTATATTATATAAAAAATTAAGTTAAATTTAAGTAGAGAATTTAGGTTAATCAGTCTCCCAAGATCTCCATATAAGAATCTTATGCACTGATGATTATTAAATGGCCAAAATTTAAGAAGAGAAGAATGGGTTTAAAAAATTGATGGATCTAGACTAGAAATTCATTAAAAGATAGAAATAACTTGATCAAGTATTCAAAAGTCCATCATCCTAAATTATCAAGCTTAAAGCCATATAGTAGGAAATATAATAAACTTAGCTTGGCCATATGAAACTATATCAACAATCATGAATTGCATCATCAAGATGAAGTCCTATGATCTGCATCAAATTTTCACTACCAAACATACTAGAAATTTAATTAATTCATACAGTCAAGTCAAGAATATTATCCTAAGACACAAGATACATATCAATATTTAAATATTCTTAATATAAAAGCTTTTAACCATACACATTAAGCATCAACACCACATGCCTGTTGCCCGTCGGCCACTTACCATTGCTTCCCTCATTGCCCTCATTTTTGTGGCACTCACATCTCCAGTCATCGCTGCCCACCAAACACATATTTCAGTTTGATTTCTTTTTTTTTTTTCATACTAAAACAAAAAATGTAAAACCCTAAACACTAAACTAAATAACTTCAAAGTATTCTAAATACAATATATTACTTTATATTACATTCATTTTACACTACAATATGTGCATACATAATCAACAACCCCTAAAGGACTCGAGACAAGAAGTCATTAGCCCCAAACAACAATAAAAACTAGCTTGTACTTTTGTTTTGCCCCATTATCATATTTTCATAATTACTTTTATTTTCTTGATTGCATGATACATAATAACAAGATGTGGATGTTTGAAGTGTTATACATCACTTGTGAAACTTAATCTTGCATGTTATACATATCACTCTTAGTATTAAACTTAAAATTCATGGAGCTCGAGTGGGGCTTTCAATATATATATATATATTGTCGTCCATTGGGCGGC